TCAAAAAAGTAACATTAGTAAAATGACCTTGCTCATATCCTCTTTTCAGGCAGCCAACCCACCTGTTTCTATAACTCTAAGGTTCCTTGATCAGGAAACCAAGGGCATTCTTGCCAAATTAAGAGCATAAGCTTGTGTAGAGCTCCAGGCTCTACAGTGCGCTGGATAGCCTTAAGTAGTTGTTGCACTGTTTTTAAAAATGCTTTCTGCTCTTTGGTCATTTCTTGACCCATCATAACCCTACCTGATATTTTACATGTGGGTTCCACCCTCCAGATGGAAGTCAGGACTGTCCCTTACCGGATTTCCCAAAAATTAATGAACTCTTCTCCTTCACACGTAACTTCAGGGCAATCACATCGGGGTCACCACCTGGAAACCTTACAGCTTGCAGTGAACAACGGGAATGAAGTACTCAGACAATTCCAGCTGAGTGGGGTTGGGGGTAGCTCTTCCGAGAGAGTCCACCCCAGCATCCCTCTGCCAAGTGTTTATTGAAAGGGCTTGTGAAACCATAAAAATCCACTAAATGGCTTTATGAAGTCAGTTACTGAGACACCTGTGACCTTGTACAACACTCAAATCGCTTTCTTAGGAGGCTGTTTGCAGCGTTCCTTATCACACCACACACTCCACTCCCTGTTCTGTCTTCAGGATCAAGGAGTTTCATCCTCATCCACAAATAACATACACAAATGCCTCAGTATTTTTCCATGCCCCAACCTCAAATGCCATGGACATAAACTTGAATATGTTACCATGTGCCCCCACATAGTGGCTCACATTTGTAATCCCAGCACTTTGGGAAGCCAAGGTGAGTGAATCACTTGAGCTAGGAGTGCAAGACCAGTGAAACTTTTTCTCTACTAAGAAATACAAAAATTAGCTGAATATGGTGGTACATGCCTGTAATCCCAACTACTTAGAAAGCTGAGGCAGGAGGATCACTTGAACCTGAGAGTCAGTGGTTGCAGTGAGCCAAGATGGTGTCATTGCACTTCACCCTAGGAAACGGAGTAAGACTCCGTTTTAAAAAAAAAAGAAGAAAAAAAGAAAGAGAGAAAGAGAAGAGAGAAGGATAGCTCAAATTTCTACACAGGCTTGCAGGTCAGCCATTCTAATAAGGTCTATTCCATATTTATCTAGAAGAGAAGACAAGCATGGAACACTACCATTCCCAACTCAGGTGCCTCATCCCTCAATCAATAGGGTTTCTGCAGACATTCTCAAAATCAGTGGCTTCCAAAGTGGAATATACATACAAAGCAATCCTTTTGGGGATACAGGAAGAAACATTACAACTTCTACTTATCTTTTAACCTAGGAAGATAAACTAAGCTTTATTTTTAAAAAGTGGATTAAAAAAATGAACTGACATTGCACACTCACACAGTCTGCATGTCAGAAAGTCATGTTCTTACTCACATGTGGAAGTTAAAACAGTTGATACCACAGAAGTAAAAAGTAAAACAGAATACTAGAGGCTGGAAAGGGTAGGGGGAAAGAGGACAGAGAGATTTGTTAAAGGATACAAAATTACAGCTAGACAGGAGTAAGTTCTAGTGTTCTATAGCACTTATAGGATGACTATAGTTAATAATAGTTTAAAATAGCTAGAATGGGGATATAAATGTTGAAACACAAAGAAAAATGTTTAAGATGACAGATAATGTTGATTACTCTGATCTGATTGATATATATTGTATAGAGCACATCACTATGCACCCTAAACTATGTACAATTATTTGTCAATTTTAAAAATGTAGAAAAAAAGAAAGTCATAGGCCACGATTGGTACCCTGAAGAAATGAAAGTCAACTGTTCCAGATTTCTAACAACTGGTTTTATTTAAACACATATACTATACCTAACACTGTGGAAAATGTTTATAATTTTGAGATAAATAACCTACATTTATATAGGTATATTCGTTACTTTTTCTGTTACTGAAAGTATACATGACTTTGGACAACAAGACATTTGAGAAAGAGAAGAGAAAGGTGCATTCACATTTCCAGAGTGCTTCAAATAACCTCCCTACAAGTTCCAGTCTCCCAGGGGGTACAGACAAGTGTACTTGGGACTTAAGTAGAAATATGACCTTCCTTTCCCACACTCCTGATCTGTTTCCTAAGGCAGGCAGGCAACCATTGTAAGTGCAGCAACGCACAATGTCATAAGTCCTGAAGATGTTCATCTTCTATGTTATGAGTACTTTTGGCTGCTCTTGGGAGGTAAGTATTATAGTTTATTTCAATGGAGACTAACTCAATAAGAATCTTACTGTTCTCAAAATAATAGTTCAAAATTAATGAATCTTAATGTAAAATTCCAAAAACAAAACAGAACCTATCATCTAACTCTACAAATTGATAATCACACCTTACATTTAAACCTCAACATTCTGTGAATACATTTTAAAATAACTAAATGCAACAATCTATTGTTCCTCATACTACAGTCTGCAAGAATATTCTTGGAAATAGTCTTAATTAAATAAAACTTTGCAAATTTTCTTTTATTTTGATGATGTTGTAACACAGGTTAAAAAAGATATATTATGGATCATCAGAAAGACTACCTTAAAACAGGAAATTACCATCTACTTGAGTGCAAAAAGTTAGAATCTGTATTTACAACCATATTAGGATTAAGCATTCATGAAAAGACACCATTTATTTTTAATCCATTTGATCTCCAACATTAAACCAAAACCTCTGGAGTTCAGTAAGCTTTTTTTGTTGTTGGCTGATGTTAAAAGGGTACATTATTCAAGAATAGAAAAACATTGTCATATTCAATTTAGAACTTGAAAAGTCCAGCACAAATAATGGAATTAATGTGCATGGCTGATCTGAAACCTGATAAATATGGCTTGACTACTTTACTGTTTGAATAAGCTATAAACACAAGGCAGGTTATAAGAAAACTGTTCCAGTCAAAAAAGCTGAGTTTATCTAAATAGAAAAAATAAACAAATATAAAATTATTTTCCATGTTTTCAGAAAGGGTTTTCAACCTATAAATGTCTTATAAAATGGTATTGACAAATATTTAAGAAAGACTCAAATTTGTAGTCTATTTATTTTATGTATAGAACTCTTTAAGAAATATTTTCCAACTTACTCAAACAACACCTTAGTTTTATTATGAGTTAGTAGATTTAACAGAACTAATTCACCAATATTTACATATTAAACAATAATAAAAATAATCTCCCATACAATGTATTAGAAGCAACCAGCTAAAATTTACTATAGGCATAAAATGTCTGACCAAATTTCATAATTATACAATCATTTAACTCATGAAATTTATTTGTATTCATTTTAATAGGACTATGGTTTATTATTGCTTCACAAAGGCTTTGTGCTGGCAGTTTCCATATCTGAAACTATTTTGAGCTGTTTTGAATTTCAATTATATTTTAAAATATATTGTGCTGTCAAATCCAGTGGCTTGCACCCAGGCTTCATATATATTTATTCAAATACACCTACATATATATATATAATATATATATATCGCCTATTAATATATATTTCATACATATTCAACATATATACAGCCCACACACATATTCACTCCCTGAAGATCAAATATTAATAAATTATCATCTACCCTTCAAATTCTATCTTTCTGTACCTAGTTGTGATTTAACTATGAAAAGACTACTAAGTGACTACATATCACTGACATATCAAAATAAAATCATAATAAAACATGGTACTGCTTTCTGAAAAAAAACCACCTACAATTTTCATAAGAGCTTATGAAATTATTTTTGAAACAATATTTAGTATTTTACTACAGGTAAAATCTTAATAGTCTACATATGCAACTGGATCATTAAAAATTATGAATTCTGCCAGGATGGAGATATATTTGTTGACTTTATTAAGCCATGGCTTATTGATAAAATGTTATTAATCAAATTTGTTGTGCTATTTTTTGAGCATGCAAACCCAAATCAAAGAGTCCTTAAGAGAAAAGTATGGAAGAGTTGGGGATTTTGGTAGATATGCCATTTAATTCTTAGGCCCATGAAAAAAATCTACAAAATAAGTAAACAAAGGAGAAAATTACTGACTTAATTATTGCCTTCACATAAAATGAAAAATAATCTCTGATTCAACAAACAGAATAACCGGAAGTCTTATGACAGATTTTAAAAAAGAATTCTTCAAGATGACGTAATCAAATGCATATGTGCAGAAATATTTTTTCAGAATTTGTTCTTTTTTTTTGGGACGGAGTCTCACTCTGTTGCCCAGGCTGAAATGCAGTGGCTGGATCTCGGCTCACTGCAAAATTTGTTCTTACTAAAATCATCATAAAGTCTCCCCTAATGTTTTATAAAATTTAAAACAAACTGCTCTGTTTTAAGATGTTGGCCTCAGGAATAAAATAACTTCTACTGGATTAAAAAAAACCTCTAAGTTTATGAGAATAATGATATACTTTAAAAAATGTTTTCTAAGAATAAGCAAATTAAATGGTGTCAGTGTATACACACACATTTATATACACGAATAAAACCTCACACAGGATAAGTACCCCTTATCTGAAATGTATGGAACCAGAGGTGTTTCAGATTTTGGATTTTGGAATACTTGCATTACATACTTACTAATTTAGTATCCAAAGTATGAAATGCTCCAATGTGCATTTCCTATGAGCATTATGTCAGTGCCCAAAACGTTTCAGATTTTACAGCATGTCAGATTTCAGATTTTCAGATTAGGGATGCTCAACCTGTATATGTATGCTTTCAGTATGTGTGTGTGCGCGCTTATATACCAAATGTTTAAGAGGATATTAAATGTTTAAAAGAATACCTTATTGGACTGGGCTCAGTGGCTCACGCCTGTAATCCCAGCACTTTGGGAGGCCAAGGCAGGCAGATCACAAGGTCAGGAATTTGAGACAGCCTGGCCAGCATAGTAAAACCCTGTCTCTACTAAAAATATAAAAAATTGGCCAGGCCTGATGGTACGCACCTGTAATGCCAGCTACTAAGGAGGCTGAGGCAGGACAATCACTTGAACCAGGAAGGTGGAGGTTGCAGTGAGCCAAGATCATGCCACTGTACTCCAGCCTGGGCAACAGTGTGAGACTCTGTCACAAACAAAGAAGGATACCAGTTTTGTAATATATTATGATTCCACATGTCATTCTGAAGTATTACACATGTATTAATACCTTAGAAAATATTAAATTCATTTTTCCTTGAACTGAAGCACAGTCACGTTTTAAAAGGTAGTATTTCACATGCATTCAGTGCCACTTTGTGACAGTTGTATTTGTGTATCTACATATATTAATACCTTAGAAAATACTAAATTCATTTTTCCTTGAACTGAGACACATTGTTTAAAAGGTAGTATTTCACATGCATATAGTGCCCCCTTGTGGCAGTTGGAAGTATTTGTGTTATCTACATAAAATTATGGTTTGTATTAAATAACTGCCATTTTTTGGACAAGTTATATGTATAGGTTATTGAGTAAAAATTCTTAACCTAAAATGTTTTTTTGTTTCAAAATAACCTTTGAAAAAGAGCATTTTTCAGAATGTCTTCAAATGGATATAATTTAAAAGACTACATCAGGATCCCTAGATTGTCTACTAAATATACCACTATCAAGATACTGAATCTCAGACTGACTGTATAGCCATTCTGGACCTCAGTTCCCTTATCTTTAAAGTTGTTCAACTAATCATTAATTAAGTCACTTTTATCCTAAAATTCTATTTGATTTAGCCTTAGAAAATTATGTTTGTTTTTAGCATTCTAATATGAAATAGAGGTCTGTTTATGGCACACTTTATCTCTTTTATTAATATGACTTTTGGGTTATGATTTCTGCTTAAAATTTCTTCAGAAAAAGTCTCAATTTATTATTCTCCCTGTCCAAACAGCCTTCCCCTAAACAATACACATTTAAAATATTTCATTGAATTACAAAGAAAAGTAAGCTAAAGTAACTGAAAACAAGTTTTGAAACATTCCGTAAAGATAAGTGTGCATATATTTGATAAGATGAGGTTAATGGCAAATCAAGTTCCCAAAAGTTAATGTGGAATAAGTCCCTCCAAAGCTTTTAGAATCTTGGGTGTTACTCTGATAAATAAGAACTAGAACAAGTTCAGAGTTTGGGCAGCTGTTCCTACCATAATCTGGATCGAATATTACCCTGTACTGCAGACTTGGCACCTCAGATTTATCTGAACTACCACTTCATTCTTCCATTATCAGTCATCAACTCAGTCCTTGTTTCAAAATGTCATTCCCTAAAGTATCTCTTCCTGTTCAACCTCTGTGCCATCCATTTAGTCCAGACATTCAACTTCCTAGCCCCGCATGCTAAAATATCCATCACAGTATCTTGCTTTTCAAAGATTGGTCTAAGAACTTGCCTCAGAATGGTTGTTAAAACATGTCATTTCCTAGACCCCATACTGTGGACAAATACTGTCCACTGAAAACATACATAATTTTCAATGTCGTGGTAATCACACCAAAAATAAACCAGTGAAATCATTTTAATAATATATTTTATTTACTCCAATGCATGTAAAATATTATTTCAAGATGTAATCAATTAGAAAACATATTAACGTGATACTTAATCTCCATTAGTTTGTACTAAGTCTTTGAAATCTGGTATTTTACACTTGCAGCATATATCAGTTTGGATTAGCATGCTTCAAGTGCTTAAGTGTGGCCTGAACCAACCCTGGAGAAGGGGGAAAAAGCCAGGGATTTACAAAACACAAAGGTAATTCTACACACTCAAGTTTGAGTCTACCACCTTAGACAGTCCTGTCTGTACACTGTTCATTCTACAACCATTACTGAATTAACATTTGAAAAAAAAATGCCCCTTTAATTATGTCAATCCTAAGAACCTAGAAAACCCTGGTACCACCAATTCAATCAATGTAGGTAGGTATTCATAGTTCTCTAAAAGTGACCTCATTCATCCATGCAACCTACTTTTCAGTTAGAAAATCTTTTGGATTCGGCCGGGCACGGTGGCTCAAGCCTGTAATCCCAGCACTTTGGGAGGCCGAGGCGGCTGGATCACGAGGTCAACAGATCGAGACCATCCTGGTCAACATGGTGAAACCCCGTCTCTACTAAAAATTACAAAAAATTGGGCACGGTGGCGCATGCCTGTAATCCCAGCTACTCAGGAGGCTGAGGCAGGAGAATTGCCTGAACCCAGGGGGCGGAGGTCGCGGTGAGCCGAGATTGCGCCATTGCACTCCAGCCTGGGTAACAGAGCGAAACTCTGTCTAAAAAAAAAAAAAAAAAAAAAAAGAAAATCTTTTGGATTCTTCCATGAAGCTTTCCTAAGCATGTACTCATTCATTCAACAAATATTTGTTGAGAACCCACTAAATGCCATCATGGATCCTACAAGTGTTAAAAAATACAATAAAAATGGAAGTCACAATTTAGATATACATCAAGGCCAACTGCCATAACCATATAAGCTAAAAATTATGTCATCCTGATTTCTCTGAAATGTTTTTTTTTTTTTTTTTTGAGATGGAGTTTCGCTGTTGTTACCCAGACTGGAGTGCAATGGCACGATCTCGGCTCACCGCAACCTCCACCTTCTGGGTTCAAGCAATTCTCCTGCCTCAGCCTCCCGAGTAGCTGGGACTACAGGCGCGCAACACCATGCCCGACTAATTTTTGTATTTTTAGTAGAGACAGGGTTTTACCTTATTGACCAGGATGGTCTCGATCTCTTGACCTTGTGATCCACCCGCCTCAGCCTCCCAAAGTGCTGGAATTATAGGCATGAGCCACTGCGCTCAGCCTGAAATGCTCTTTCTAATCATAAACATAAAACATAAGCTTTACATTTCTGTCAGCATGATTCCATGAAATTAAGCCAATCAACTAGACAAATCAACTTAAACAGCTGTATGCGCCCCTAAAAATCTTAATGTATAAGAGCAAATAACGGGAAAGTTCAAAATGCTTCCTCCTTTATCCTTATAAACTGTGCGGTAACTGCTGAGTGCAAGCTCCTTCCCACTCCTCCCACTTGTCTGTACTTTTTCTATGACAATAAACTTTTTTATTTATCCTGATTTTATTTTTGACATGGGAGATAGATCACGTCTGATGCAAATCATTATACAATTTTTTACAATTAAAGAAATGCTCTGAAGTAGCACTATGAGATGCTATGAAAACACTTCAGAGAGGTCCTTATACAGTCTCAAAGAAAATGTCTTTAAGCAAAGTTAAGACATTCACACCCTTTAAGTTAAGAAAGGGTGTGAATATAATGAAGAATCTCAGATAAAATGAAATTTCTAGGTAGAGAAATGTACATTATGGAAAGCAATAAGGTAGAAAAGCACATGGGAGGGCCAAGTTACTGAAAGGAGCAGACAGATGAGGAAAGTAATCTGATAGGTGTCTTCCCAGGCAGGCAGAAACCAGGTAGGGCCAAACTCATGAACTTCCAATTTTCTTTAAAAAAAAAAAAAAAAAGTATAAATATTTGAACCGAAGTAGACTACAAATTTCTCACAAGACACAGACCATTCCTTCTATACTTCATTTCTTATGTCTCCTCATAAAGTACAGATATTTAATACTTCCTTTGTACATAGTAAAAATCATAATTACAACAGTCTTTTAATTTCTAGAATCTCCAAGTTATACTAACAATTATTTGCAGCTTCAGGTAACTTAAAAACTACATTACTATGAAACTCAATAAAATCATTCATGAAGTACTCAGTTTTAACATTAAGTTCCCTAGAAAGGCAGTTTTTATGTGGAAAAACATGGGTAACATGTCCTACCAGTGTGATCCCAAAACTCTAGCTCTCCCCAAGATCTCAGTGGAAGGAGTAAAGGACATCCAATTCTCTTACTCTTTACTCTTCACTTTCCCTGACCGTATTCTTCATATCAAAGATTGTGATTTATACACACTCAGAGATTAAAAGATGGAAGAAAAAATTTTACTGGGTCAAGTCAGCCTGTAACCTATCACACTCACGTTTTACTCTTCAAACTGATCAAAATATGATATACAATACTGTACGAGGAGAATGCTAAGATAGTTCCCCACATTCCTGGCCCCTAGAGAGCACATCTGCATAATCCTCTCCCCTAGACTTTGGGTAGAACCTACAAATATGAGGAGATATCATTTCTCGGATTAGGTTCATCAAAAGGGAGATATGACTGGGTCTGACTTAATCAGGTGAGCATTTAAAAGGGGCTGCAGGCCCGGCGCGGTGGCTCAAGCCTGTAATCCCAGCACTTTGGGAGGCCGAGGCAGGTGGATCACGAGGTCAAGAGATTGAGACCATCCTGGTCAACAAGGTGAAACCCCGTCTCTACTCAAAACACAAACAATTAGCTGGGCATGGTGGTGCGTGCCTGTAATCCCAGCTACTCAGGAGACTGAGGCAGGAGAATTGCCTGAACCCAGGAGGCAGAGGTTACGGTGGGCCGAGATCACGCCATTGCACTCCAGCTTGGGTGACAAGAGCAAAACTCCGTCTCAAAAAATAAATAAAAATAAAAATTAAAAATTAAATTAAAATTAAAAGGGTTGGAATCTCCCTGAAGTCAGGGGGATGGGAGGTGTGAGAAGGTCTATGGAAGGGCCAGCTGGCAAAAAAACAGCTTGCCTCTGGCCAACGGCTAGCAAGACAAAAGGGATCCTAGTCCAACAACCACTTTCTGTCAGAGGGTTTAGAAGGACCTCAAACCTCAGATGAAACCCCCACTTGAAGACCCTTTGATTTCAACCTTGTGCGACTGAGCAAAACAGTCAACTATGCCACGTCCAGACTTCTACCTACAGGACTGAGAAAACAAATAGGTGGTGTTTTGAAGCCACTGATTTGTGGTAATTAGTTATGCAGCAATAGAAAACTAACAACATTCAAGTATTTCTCATATAATAACAGCATGTCTGGCAGATATAAAAGTTTTTCAGGCGTCATTCTACAAATATCTTCCTAGCTGCTTTAAGAATTCTTTTAAAATTGACATGAACATTAATTGTGCAATATCTCCTTAATAATTCTCACCCTTTTCAATGAAAAGTCATAGAGTGTGGTGAGTCAAGATACACTGAGTATTCTTCAATGCTGATGAGCCTCTTTGGGGAGGTGACCTTATTCCTATCCTGCCGCCTAAGGGTGGGCAGGGTGGACAGAACGCAACCTGGACTTCCGGACGCAGTCCCCCTACCGCCCCAGACTCGCCTACTCCTCTGGCCTCTGAGGGGTGCCTTAAGCCTAGGACAGACGTGGAAAATGGGCAGAAAAGAGGATGCAGTTCCCCTCTTTAATCCCTAACTCAATTTCTCGGGAAAAGCCGCGTTCCCACACAGAAGGCAGACCCTCCAAAGCTGCAGCCTGGCTACCGCGCACGCGGTAGCTTCACGAATTCCCAAAGCATCTAGCGGAAGTTTAGACCGTTCAGTAGGGGTCACGTGTGCCACTTCGGATGCAGCTGGCAAACACTTCATTTCAGTTTGAAAGTAACTTTGAAACTCGGAAACGGTACTCCATGGTCTTTCAGTTCATAAGCGTAGACACCGGCTACTGAAATTGGAATCGTCATCTTCTTGCCTCGGCCGCAACTAGTAGACTAGGATCAGAAGACATCTAATCACAACCTACCGGAGCTTCACACAGGCACAGCAGATCAAGTCCACAAACTGCGCCTGCGCGAACCGGCTGTTCCGGCGAGATCGCAGGAAGACGGAGAGAAAGGGCAGGATCCCGCCGCGTAGGGCGGGGTTAAAGGCCTGTCGCGCCTGCGCAAAAGACCCGACGACCGGCTGCGTCGTTACTTTTGAAACGCTTGGCGGGGAATTGTTAAGGAGCCGCTGCGGTCGCTGTCAGCGGAGTGGAAGCGCGTGCATTTGCTTGTGTCCGTGGCCATGGCGCTGCAGCTCTCCCGGGAGCAGGGAATCACTCTGCGCGGGAGTGCCGAAATCGTGGCCGAGTTCTTCTGTAAGTTCTTGCGCAGGCCTTAGTGGGGGTGAACTGAGTCCTGGCGGCTCAGGAGGCCCGCGGCTCGGCCTCCAAGACCGGGGAAGGAATCTGGGGCGAGGCGGCTGCAGTCGCTTCCTCCTGACGCGTTGCTAACGTGGAGCGGCGGGCCTGCGTGCTGCTGGGGCCTGCCTCACATCGTAGCCTCTTCCGGAGCGTTTGTGCAGAAACACCCCACCTCCCACCGCTTACTTCACGAAACAGGACAGAGTGTGACTGGGGTGGGCCCCAGTGTCCTGTGTAGGGGGAAGGGAGGGTTGTTCTGTTTCTTTAACTGCGGCCGCACCCTGACCCTCCCACTCTTAAGTGATCGTGAGGCGTGAGGCTGGTGGTAAACAAGATTTTGGGAACGCCTGTTCTCGACCAGGCCCGCTGCACGTTCTAAAGGAATCTGGCAGGATTTGAGAGGGAAAGGGGAAGATGCAGGCTTGCCTGGAGCACAGTGACTATTAAGTCAGTTGCTAACTCGAATGCAACAGCCTATTTTGATATCCTCTAGCCTCATAATATTAATTTGGACTTGGTTTACAATGAGGTGAAATTTGGCAATGGTAGGTTGATACACTTTGTTTTTTTTTTCTTATTGCCGCACGAAAGCAAATACCTTTCTTTCTTAGAAGCAAGACTTTTAAGGATTTTTAATGCCGCTTTGTACCTACTCTGAGTAAGATACAAACACGTGTGTTCTGTCATTTACAGCTTTATTGCGTAATGAAAATAGAGCCACATCTAAATATATTTTATTTTCCAAAGTTATGTAGTGATAAGGAATTTTCTGTGACATTTCTTTTGTTTGCAGCATTTGGCATCAACAGCATTTTATATCAGCGTGGCATATATCCATCTGAAACCTTTACTCGCGTGCAGAAATATGGACTCACCTTGCTTGTAACTACTGATCTTGAGCTCATAAAATACCTAAATAATGTGGTGGAACAACTAAAAGGTATTTAATCATTGGAAACAATTTGAGTCTTGTAGACTAGGCTTCACATTTTCAGGCATCTCAAGTAGTAATTTTTTCCACTCTGCACATAGAAGTGTAGAACATCGCAAATAGTGATTTTCAGTTGGGAGGAAGCAAATAATATGTAAAATGGAAGAAATCCACTCTTCCCCTCACTGCATTGTGAGTGGACTGAATATTTTGATGTTAGAAATCTGATACGGCTAAAAAAAAAGTCTTCATCAACTCCTTTAGAAATGGCTTTTGCAGTTAATGTTGCTAAATGGAACAAGTTGGAATGTTACATAATTATATTGGTGTTCACTAGCTGAGAAAATATACACTACATAGTCTCAATATGATTTATTAATTTTCTGTAGTCTCCTGTTATAATTAGATTAAGATCAAGAAACATAAAATTGGATTCAACCAGAGAACTAAATTTCAAAAAAGTAAAGATTACCTGCTACATAACAGAACACCAACAGTTTTTTTTTGTTTTGTTTTTCACCTGTTTCTCTTTGTCATTTACAAAAATTCTGCCTGTGATGCAGTAAGCCTTTTCTGTCTGAACACTCATTATTTTTCTTTAACTTGGGAAACTGCTGTATTACCTCTTGGATGAATACTTGTTCATCTGTTTCTTTTTCCTTTCTAGAATTCCTGTTAGTTTCTCTTTTGTGTTTCCCGCCACTTAGGATGCTCATTTCCAATTTTTCAAATGTTTCTCTTATTTTATCTTCTAAAATATTAGTTTCAAAGAGTATTACAGTGGCCATCATTTTTTTTTTTTAATTTAGAAATCATTTCTTTTGTTGACCAGAATTTTTTGTTTCAAATGTGGCTTCTTTATCGTTTTCATGGCATTTTTACTAACCCATTTTTAATATGCTCTTCTGATGATGGCCATGTGAACTTTTTTAGCTTGATAACTCTCTTTGAAGCTGTACTATCCTCTAGGTAAATTGTTACCATTGACTTGCCATTTATATGTACAGGAGTGGAATTCCTCAACAGCCTGTGCATGTCAGGTCTCAAATTGACAGGCAAGGGAAGATAGCCCTAATGATATTTTGGCCTGGATATTTCTTTGATGTGGGTGCTTTTTTGTGTGTTGTAATGTTTACCAACATTCGTGACCTCTACTCATGAAATACCAGTAACAAACCCCCTTGCTCTGACAACCAGAAATGTCTCTATATGTTATATTGCCAGATATGCCCTAGGGGACAAAATTGCCCTTGGTTGAGAACTTCTGCTGTAGTGGATTGGTATTGTCTAAACAGCAAGATGAGAACTCTTTTGGTGTGAGAATAGAACTCTGTTCTCAGTGTACACAGGAAAGACATTGATAGGAACAGTCCTCCTCTCCCAGAGTTGCATCCAAAATTGGGAGTCAGGAATAAATCATCTATAGTGAATCATAGGGCTGCACGGTTTTTTTTCTTTTTTTTGAGAGAGAGAACAAAAGGCTGTACTTTTTTTCGCTCACATCATTCAGCTTGGAACCTCTAGGCAACTGTGGATCTGTGCCTTCATCTTAATATGCTAGAGAAGCAGATATTGCCTAAGCCAGTGGTTTTTAGGTTGTCTCCTATGAGACTGGATTGATGACATTTCACCTTATGTGTGTCTAGACCTTCCTGTTTAACTTTTCCCTTTCATTTTAGTTAAAGTGGAAGAATTGCTCTTCCCAAGAGGCAGGTTGTTCTGTTTTGAATGTCATTTCCTTTAGCCTTTTTAGGGTCTTTACCCTGTTCTCTCTTGTATTTTCTGCTTCTGTGTTTTGATTGTAATTATTCCCATTGGGTTCATCTCTCCAGTTTTAGAGAAAGAACAAATTATCACCCAGTCTCCTCCTTTTCAGAGTGAAACTAATAAAAAGTTGTTGATAATGCCAATGAATCACAAGGCCCACAGGCCACATCCAACAGGTGGTCTCTGTTTTTGCACTGCCCACAAGCTAAGAATGTTTTTACACTTAGACGTTTGTTTAAAAATAAGCAACAGAGATCTTGGTGGCCTATAAGCCTAAAATATTTACAATTACTCTATTTCTTTACAAAAACTTGGCTGACTCCTGATATGCTGTTCCAATTTCCAAGATTAATTCAAGGCTCAATCTTAGCCCCTGTTCTCTCTCTTTTTAATTTCTCTATAGGTGGTCTTTGACCTTGTATAGCTTCACTTAAAACCTTTGTGTAGTAAACTCACAAACTTGTATCTATCTCAAGCCTCTTTTTCCAGACCCATATATCCAGCAGCTATATCTTTATGTAGCTATCCCAGAGATAATGTACACTCAAGCATGCTAAAAACTAAATTTAGGATCATCTCCAAAACTGATACTCTTTAATTCTCTCTCTTTTTTTCTCTCAGTAAATGGCTAAACTGTCCAACCAGAAATAAACTTGGAAGCTATCCCTGAATCATACTTCTTCCAAACTACTGTGACTAAACCTAATAAATTTTAACCATGAAATCTCTTAAATCTACCTAATGCTCCATCTCTACCATTTATCCTCTTATAAGCTTTCACTAACTCTTGCTTAAATTACTGATTAACTAGTGTCTCTAGATCCCCTCTTTACCATCTCCACTCCACTTTCCGTATCACAGGTAGAACGATAGTTTTGAAATACAAGTCTTAATTGCTTTGCATCCTGCTTCACACACAGTAATGACTTCCCTGGTCTTGAAGTGTATATTTCTTTAATTTGATCCATCAGGCTTTGCATGTCTGACTCCTACTTATCTTGCCAGGATTACCTTGTTTTATTTTGTTTGTTTCTTGACTGCAGTTGTAGTGGACTGCTTCCAGTCCTCTAGTTATATGCTCTTCCCTTGTGAGTATATCTTCTTTCCTCTTCTTTTGCATATTTAATGCTGTTTATCCCTAGAGGTAAACTCAAGCCTTTTCTGACCTCCTAAGTGGCTCAAATTTTCCTTTTTTCTTGCTCTCATAGCAGCCATTACAGTTTTAATCTCTCATTTATTGGTGTGATGATTGGATTAATGCCCATCTCCTATGCTTTTATCTTGGATTAGGATGAAAGTACCACATGTTCAGTATTCGGTCCTTAGCACCAATTGCTATACCTGGCACAGACACTGAGAATTTGAAGAGAGAAGTTAGGTTATTGATGGGGCAAATTTTGTTGCATGTAGAAGGAGGTACAAGATACCAGTGGTAGGAATTTGCTGAGGATAGGGAGTGGGACCAGAGAAGAGAGCTACTGTATAATTCAGTAGACCTAAAAAGATGTCTTTCTTTTTATATATTGCAGATTGGTTATACAAGTGTTCAGTTCAGAAACTGGTTGTAGTTATCTCAAACATTGAAAGTGGTGAGGTCCTAGAAAGATGGCAGTTTGATATTGAGTGTGACAAGACTGCAAAAGATGACAGGTAAGTAGGAATTCCATTATTTCTACTGTTATTTTTTTTCAAAACTTATTTTTATTACTAATTGAGTTCTAATTTTTAATTAGTTTTATATAAAATATAGTTTATTTCTAAGTTATATTTTCTAAGATATCTTCAGTCACCTATGGAAAAGAATTGTCCTCAGTTTAGCATATCATTGATTTGTATATATAATATACATTTAACATAATTGTCTTTAGTCTAAATCAGTAGTTTTCAAACAGTATTTATGGTGACATATACAAAACTACACATGATATACTAGAGGGACCATTTAATGAATTATTCAAAGATATTTCTGACTGTAAGGAATGATCTGAGACTCACACAATTTAAGATGCAGCTCTGCTGTACTTCCTTTAATGCCATCTGTTTCCTAAGACA